CACCTACCCTACAAATCTTCCTTCACCACCAAGATTTCCCATCTAATCCTAACCCTCTCTGCTCCCACACCTTAGAGACTTTTCTATATCCACCAGCATCCTCTGGAGCCTCTTTTCAAAGAATGATCAAAAATTCAGACTACCCCATACAACTCCCAAGTCCATCAATAAGCTTCCTAACACCAGCTGGGATCAGTGGCAAACCCCTTCTGCCTACAGTAACCCCAGCCGTTCCACCATGCCAAGTTGCTTCTCTGGTCAAGAGCTGCAGTTCAAGCTTGAACAGAGCTTTGAAATATTACTGATGCAAAAAAACTCTGCATGACAAAGCTGTAAGCGCATGTATTTGCACACACAAAAAGCAGTGCCCTATTGAAGAGAAGGCCCCAAGAACAACGCTTGATAAAATTACTCCTGGCAACTGATCAGACTTAACTTTCTCTAAAATCCTATAAAGCAAATAAACCCTGGAGCCTAGGAGTCTCCAGGGAATGGTGAAATCCATGGAATGCCCTCATGCCAAATGAGGCACCGCATCTCTATATGGGTCTTGAGCCATTTTTAGTAAGACGTTCCAGTTCAATAAAATTAGTCTCTTCCTACCCCAGCTTTTACTCTCTGGACCCACTGCACCTTGGATTCCCAAGAAGGCCTTCTCCAGCCTCTCCTGATGATCACCTCATTCTTCCCTTTGTCTTGGTACCATCTTTGTTTATCCAGAACAGCTATATTTCAACAGCTAAACTTTCTCCAGCTGGAATGAAAATGGGGATATGAGTGGAGAAGTTAGGAAAAATTTCTTTAACTTTCACTTTTCTAATGATCCCTGCCCTATGCAGTTTGGAAGAGACGTACTTTTCTCAAGAGTGGAGAGTGCTGCCAGGAGAAGGAAAGAACACTTCATTGATGGGACCCTAAAGCTTCTTTTTTTCTTTATTAAAAAAGAAAGCCTTGAAATCATGATCCCCAGGCACCAAGAAATAAAAAGTCCAAAATTCTGTTCAAAAGGCTCATGCTCCCCCCAACAACTGTTTTGGAAACATCTTCTGAAGGTCCATTTCTAGACATATGTTTGCCAGAAGGCACACAGCGTGTGGTGCAATTGCCATCCCTTCCTTCCTGTGACTACAGATTTCCAATTCTATATAAAACACGCTGCCTCGTTATCCCCATTGCACTTCCTCCTGCGTGCATCCCCCAGCCCCTTCACACACCCTCTTCATTTCAAATCTGGATCACTAATATTGAAAGGGACTGGACACATTTGGTAGGGCATCTCAAACAGCAACAGAACAGCTAATTTCAAGACGTCTGGAAACTCAGTAAGCTTGCATGGCAATCTGTTTGGGCAGGAAAGTTTTCCAGAGGGACAATCCCAAGTTTGTCACATCACCATAGATCAACTTGATTCTTGTGGCAACCAAGCAAGAAGCTGCCATAACTGAATCTGAAGAAGCTCAGGGAACAATAGAAAGCAACCAACCCACATCAGCTGTTCAAAGTCTGATGCAATGTGGCATAAAACATCCCTATGCAATGGCAACTAAAGCTCAATAGGAGACACTTCTGCACTCGTGTGTGTTCCAGCACATGAGCAATGCTGGTATTTTCCCACACTTCCTTCCCTGCTCTGCTTCTTTGTGGACCTAATAGCTATTGACATGAATACCGGATGTAATCTTGTGTTATTCTTAGAAACATTTCGGCTCCCAACTGCGGCCTGAAGAGATCAGACCCCCATTTTCCTGACTCAGTTCCTCTGCCACTGTTACAGGAGGTCAGAGAAACCATCTCACAAATAACCTACAGAAATATTCCACTCAGAAAGATCAAGAGTAACAAGATCCCAAGTCACCGTACAGAGGAACTACCTATGACGTCAGTCACAGGGAAATGGCTTAGTGTTTGTTAATGGTGCTGGAGTGATAATCCACTCCTCTGACGCTAGACTATGTGGAAGAGCCATGCCAAGAAAGCAGCAATTCAATTAAACTGTGAAGTCTATTGTTCTGCAAACTTGTCTGTCTTTCTGCTAAGGTGGTGGCAACCACATCTTTTTATCCGTCTCACAGTAAGCTTTGTGCTAGCCTGGAACATTTACATACTCGAACACATTCAGCATTATAAATTACTCCCCACCTTCATGTAGGGAGTCTGTCAAAAAGAAAATTCTCCTCAAATAAAACTGACTTTTCATTTTTAATAGTTCATGACATTTAAAACAAACATAGAATAAGAACACACAAACCCAACCTGCTCTTCCTCAAATATCAAAATCCAGTTCCCCTTTCCAAAAAATGAGATTATTTAGCTTCTGAAATGTTAGTGGACAGACACAAGGAGAAGCCAGGGTTGGGGGATGATTGATACTTCTGATGTTTTCAGCTAGGGAATAAACTTCAGATCCCTGGAATTACCAGACTTTTAGCTTTCCAGTAGGACCATCACTGCCTGTCTCTCCAGAAGGCTGGCAGTATTGGACATGCATTATTTGTTTGGAAAACAAAGACCAGACAATCTTTGGGTAGAATTCAAGCTGATGTGGCATTCGGCTGTCCAGCTACCAGGTTTCATAAGTGATACAGAAAATTATCAAATTGCTGTGAAACACCTCTACAAGAAACCACATCAGTGCATACCCTTGCTGCAATACAGATTTGCCTGTGCACTTATACAAACAGACTACTTGCAGTTTGTAAGCTGATTTCCACTACTACTGACGCCTTTCAGCTCCTCGAAGAAGGAACATCTTCTAACCAGACTGACCCAGTTCTGTGGGCCTCTGCACCGCAGGGACACATCGGGTTTCACAGTAAAGCACATCAGGAAAAAACTGAAATCACTGGCAGAAAAGGTGTTTAAATAAAGCTCACTGCAATTTTAAAAATAAGCGTTAGATAAGCATCCTCCTTACACTGAGAAAACAACAAAAATAGGGAAATCAGTTCCCCTCACACATGTTTAGGCCCATGGAAAGAATTTGCATTCTAGGAGCTCAGAAGGACAAGCACAGAGATAGGGGGAAAAAGCAGGCAGTGCCCACCAGCCTACACAGACAGCTCACAGACCCGACAGCTCCTCACAACACCTCAGGGCACGACTGCCCTGGTGACACAGACCACAGCCTGGCCTGCTTGTCTGCTATCTGCAGCACCAACTCCTGCTAACAGCCCTTTTGCTAAGGGGAATCCATATTACAGTCTCCGTTTTCATTATTAGTTGGACAAAGTGGAGAGCTATGAGGTTATATTTGCCTTGTGCATCTGGAACACTGAGTGCTCAGGGAATAGATATGAGTTCTTGGCCATCTTTTTTATAACTTAATATAAAGTAATCTTATCAAGACACGGAAAAAAAACCCACATTCGAGCAACCTATTGCAGGATAAGCTTTAAAAACATAAACTGAAAGACAAAATGCCATGGTTGAAGGTATCCAGAGTTCCCATCAGGTAAATTCCTTCCCTTTCCTGACCAATAGATGTTGCTATCCCTCTTCCCTGTTGCTCTTTGCAATTCAGTGAATACTTCCAGCCATGCTTTTATTTCTGTTGGTAAAGACAGCAAAACTGACATACAACCACAGATACACAGTACAGCATGATATCATGATATGCCCTGCATCAGCAGTCTCCCAGTGCTGAACTTGGAATGCCATCTTTGACCTTGGCACTGCTCTTGGTGACAGGTCACTGACAGGTAACATGTCCCCCCATCCTCAGTCCGTTTCAGTGGTCTCTTGACTTTTCTCCAGTCTAGTATTTAGGATCTTCCCAACAGTCCTGGGTAGGGACCCCTTTCTCCACAGCAATCTGAATACACGCCTCTCCCCCCGCCCCCCCAACCTCCCTTTCTACCACGGCAGAGGTCACCAATAGAAAAAAAAAATAATTCTACCAGGAAGACTTTGAAAGTCTCATCAGGAAACATCAGCTGCTGCGAAGGCTGCTCTTTCTAGATCAGAGTAAGACACCTGGGCATCAATTAGCTCTTCACTGTGAAGCTCCCTGTTCATGCATGCATCTGAGAGAATCCCATTTTTGCAGGAATTGCGGGAGATGCCCATTTGTCTCCACGTCCAGAGCATTTCCATTCTGGTGCCATTCCAAGCCGGCTTTGCATTTGTTTAAGTCCTGCTTTTCAGGATCCCTGTGGATCTCTCCATTGGTGTATACCTCTAATGCATACTCACTGATTCGTATGCTGGCGTTCTCTGTGTCCCCACCATGATTGGAAGTCCTAGAGCTGGCTGTTCCTGCCTTGAACGGCTCCTTCCGGCCCAGGATATGCTGGCTGATGATTTTACGGAAGGTGTGTCGAAACTCCCTGATTCGGTAGGCATAAATTAGAGGATTTACAACCGAGTTGGCATGAGACAGGATAATAGCCAGATACATCAGCCAGAGGGGAGCATGGTCACAATTTGGGCAAAAAAGGGTAAAGCAGTTAATAATATGTAGTGGAAGCCAGCAGACTGCAAACAACCCAACAATGATGGCTAAAGACTTAGCTGCATGGACTTCCTTCTGCAAAGTAAAGCGAGAACGTTCCCCATGTACCATCTTGTTCTCCATCTGTTTGAGCTGTCGCCGGGCTGCCATGAAGATCTTCAAGTAGATACCAAACATGAGGAGGAGAGGCAAGAGCACACAGGCAAAGAAGTTGTAGTAGACCATGTACTCCATGGTGACCACAGCCTCAAAGAGACATGCCACCATACTGTTGCTGCAGTTGATGGGAGAGGACTTATTGGAACCCAGCTCTTCGATCTGGGAGCGTTTGTGCCACCCTAGCATTGGTGTCAAGCCGATGATGAAAGATAATACCCAGCAGATGGCAATGATACCTTTAGCTCGAGAGCCAGTCACCAAGCCATTGTACCTATAAAGCAGAGGAAATGGGAATTACATCAGTATCATTCAACAAGCCCCTGACACCCAAGCAACTTCCCAGTGTCCCAGAAGACAGCATGAAAGGCACCGGCTTCTTAGGATGGGTCTTTGAACTGCTGTGCAGAACCCGCACAGCACAGCAAGGACTCCATAGTGACATTGTATGCCACCTATTTCCCTCCCCTTTCCTTTAGGCAGTAAATAGGTGACAGAAAAGCAGGGAAATTAATACAGTTTTCATCTGTGTTCCTTCACTCCACCAGCCCACTTGGTCATGCACATAGACCTTGCAGCCTGGATAACCAGCAGCATTGCTCTGACCCTTGGGGATGAAGACCACTGTAGCTCTCTTGCCGAAGGCTGAGGCAGTTCCTCCCTTCTGGCAAAGGAGCAGCCTCATAGCATGGAATTGCTAGGTCTGTCTTGCAGTAGCTCTGTAAGCCAAATAGCACAAAGGAACTCGCAGGCACAGTGCCATCGGCCCCGTGTCCATGTTCAGGTGTGCTCCAGAGAAAGTCTGCTGACTGAGTTGCAGAAGCCGGGCTGGCATTCCCTTGCACAGCACCTCACTGCTCCACAACAGCACTTTCAAGAAGGCCAGCACCACCAACCTGGTAAATAGCTGAGATAAGTCAGCAGTTTTCCTCACCAGCCTGGCTAAGCTGACCCCATGTCTTTCTCAGAAAGGAGGAATTAAGCTGAGGACAGTGCTGACTACAGGTGTGCTGTGGGCTGCACTGCACACACCAGGCGGGACTTCAGTAGTGGAGGCACTGATATGCCTGGCTGAAGCCAGTGTTCTTAGCAGTAAATTCTCCAAGATCTGTTGAAAGAGACAATAAGCAACACGGCAAGAACCTGACAGTGTAGCCAGGGACCTTTGTTTGAAATATCGGCCCGTTCCCAAGGCCTCACAGGTTACTGCGAGTCCTGAGCTGACTCCACCAGTTCTTCTCTCTGAAAATGTAAATCAGGGCAACAGTTTAACATTTCAATGCAATTTCCTTCCCTTGGTAATGCTTAGCATGGAAAGTAGATGGCCAGATTCCCACATTGTCCAGCATGAGTCCCACACTGTACTTGACCCCATGTGTCTGTGATCGGACAACGGTAGCGCTGGGCTCCCAGTGTTTACTCAGTGCTGCTTCTCCCTCTGTCCCCAGAATTCTCTCAGCAAACAAACATTTGAAAAAAAAAAAAAAATCCAACAAGCCATAGAAATCTTTCCATCTCTCAATGAAATAGGCAATCCCACAGGTTCATGCTCCTATCCCAATGCAAGTTCAAGACAGGAGGAGAGGTTGCTTTTGCCGGGCACAGTACAGAATGGAGACCTTGCACATGCTTTAAATCCCTGCTAATGGGCCTTGAAAAAAACCCACGTGGCTCCACACAAGACTTGGCTGGCTTGAGTCTCCCTTTCTCAGTTGCACTTCAAAATCAGAAAAGAGGGAGTGGGTGATGGAGCTAACCACACAATTCCCAGTACCCAAAATATACAGAAATCCTCCTTCCAGAAATAAGGGAGGGATTCAGTTGATTCTGAGAGAGAAAGAGGTTTCTCCAGCAAGTAGTGGATCCTGCTCAACGCTTAGGGGATGCTAAGGGCACAGCATGGATGGTAGCAGGGAACTGCCCACATTCAGACCTCATCAACACAGCAAAACAGCATCTGTGCTTTGAAAAGTACACTCAGGGAGCAAGAGATTGGCTGAAGGCACTTCAAGCTTGGAAAAACAAAAACCAGAACAAACCCCTAAAAACCCTACAGCCCTGGAATTAGCGACATCTTGTCAGAGGAATTTTGAAATTGTGCAGCTGTTATCCCACGACTAGAGATGTCCCTTCCCGTCCACTAAAAATATATTCATTACTGCTCTAGGCAAACACCCTCCCCCCAGCTTCTCCCTCCCTCTCACCCTCTGGGGATTCCCATGCAACAAACTTTACAAGGCTTAGGAACAGCACTTAACCCAAGCAGCCTCCTGCTTTCCAGCTGCAGTGTATTGTGCAGGCAGCGCCTATTACCAACCTATCAGCGAGGGCATTTCCGTAACACCCTGCTCACTGTTTCCAAGGGTCAAGAGGGAAAGCTCACATCACCACCTCATCACACAGTGTGTGGCACTACGTTGGCCAGGTACTCAATGAAGTGTCCATTCACTTGGGAGAGCTTGGTTTCTAGGACCCACATGAGACACTGCAGGCTGATTTGGCTGAGGCAGGGTTATTGTCCAGATGGACTTTCCTGGACTCATTCCTTTTTTCCACTTAGAGATGTCACCAGGCTGGCGCTGAAGGGTTTGCGCACCTGTCTAGGCATCTTTCTAGGCTCACAGCAGCCAGGCCAAAGCTACTCTCTGTATCTCCCGTGCTGTACAGCTCTACGTACCATGTTCATACCAACTTCAGGGCTTCTAGGAAGTGTCACATAGACTGTCAGTTGCTGGCACCTATGCAGGAGACACAGCCTGCTGAAAGGAGCTGGTCACACCTAAGCCCATGTTCTGCATACTCGACGGGTGACTTTGTAGCATGTCTGGTGTGTCCAGACAGCACTGGATTGTCTTTGCACAAGCAGTTCTCGGGCTTCCTGGAAATACTGGACTCACTACACAAATGACGACTTCTACTTGTGAAATTCCAGACACAAAGAACATTAGTGCAGAGCACAGGGACGTTCACAGTGGAGCTGGATGTGGGGATAGGGCACCAGACTCTTCCAGAAAACAAACCCCACTTTTACAAACACAGGAAATTGTGGATGTTTTCCCCAAAATAATTTCACCTGCCCTGCTGCTTTCCCAACCATCAGGCTGGCAAACTGACGCCAAAGCATCTGCCCTTGGTGAACGCACAGCTCATCTGTGCTGCCTAAAGTAGCTTGGCTGAGGATATGAAGCTTCTGAGTCCTTGGCCTCAGCTCTGTGTCATCAAGACAATAATTCCTGAAGAAAGTGTAATACCTCACCAGTCTGATTCGTAAACTATGAAGCTGGGTGGAAGACAGAGCTGGTATAAAAACCACAGAGTCCTCAGGTAGAAGTTAAAATCTTTTCATATGTTGCATGGTATGTTGCTGGCCTAACTCATCGTCACAGCATCCCACCAGCCTGCTGCTTGTCTTCCAAACCCACCTCTGATTGACAGCACCGCACATCTTGGCATGGCTCTGCCATGCGTGGAGCACGCTTCAGCCACCTTTACTGCATCACACCAGAAAGCCTGTGCTCAGCGTTGAGGGCACTGGGCTTTGATCTGAATTCCAGCTGTGCTCAATGTTTTTTAACAGATCACTACAAAATGCTTTTTACTGAACACATCCCTCAACAGCCCACACCTCAGGCAGCTGCAGTCACAGGCAGCAAGACAAAAGGAGGATGCCCTATCCCTATTACATGTATCTGGAAATGCAAGACACTGGCAATCCCAGATCATCCAGGAAATCTTGTGGGCAGAGCAAGAAAACAAACCCAGACCTTCTCATGTACCACCGACATTCAGGAAACTGTCTCCCCTATTACTAGGTGCTAACTGGTGCTAGTGCTTGGCTATGCAATGGAGACTGGGTAGGGGGGCATCCCACAGGTGGGCACAGGGCTCTGAAGAGCAGAAGCAATAATGGTGGCCAGACACCATTCTTTTGCTCATGGCACAATCAGCTTCCAGGCTAAAACCTTGGTAACAGCAAGTTCCACTGCCCATGAAGCCATAGACAGCTGGCACTGCTTCCAAAGCCATGCCCATGGTTGTTCAAAGGAGGAAGTACATTATTCTTTCGTATTAGGTTGAATCTGCCCGTGATCTATTTGACACAAACATGAGCACATGTAGGAAACGCTTGTCATAAAGTCAAAAGGTTTGTGGTGAGCAGGGAAAGAAATAAGTCCGGATATGGCTCAAAGTGATGATAAAACATTAAATCCCTGATTCACCGATTCAGATGCTCATATATGAGCATTTGAGAAGGCAACCCTAGAGAATCAAAGCAACTGCTGAAACAGACTGTTCTCAGCACAAAGCTCCCTTCCATGTCCTGTACTTTATTCAGGGTTTGTGTTCACGTCCCCTGTTCTTCCTACCCCAGGCTTTGAGAAGCCAGTTCTTCATGTCCAGCTCTCCTAACCTCTGGCATCCCTGTGCCACCTCAGAGCTGCAGTTTCAACCACCGCTACATGGGATAAATCTGTCCCAGTGTTCCAAGCAATAGGGAGCTGCACCTTAGCAATGCTTTCCCAGAGAAGCATCCCAGTAGCTTGGGCAGTCAATCACCTCCAAAGCAACTTTCATCAGGGGAAAAGGCCTGCAACTTCAGCAAGTTGCTGTAGCTGGCAGTGTATGACCTGCATAAGTATTTATGCCACAGGTGAATCGCTGAATCCAGCACACACAGCAAGCAGTAACCTGAGAAAACTTTTCTGTTTGGCTGCAGGAAGAAAAATTTCTCCTCTCTTTTCAGTGCATCGGAGCTACCTGTCCTTCACCATGGGAGTACCTTTACCACAAATGCCTGCACAAGAACACGTGGCTGGGCACTGTGCCCGCGGAGCATTTGCTGGCACCAAAGAGCCTGGAAAGCGGCAATTGTTCTCGGCCCATGACTTCATCCTGGAGCTCAGACTCACAGCCACTTTTGTTTAGAACAACCAGGGGTTTTATATGGGCAAGCGCAGGTTGTCAGGTACCTGCCACGTCAGAGACAGAGTTTGGATTTTATCCTAGACTGAACAATGGCTCAGACTCACTTCCTTGGGAGCGCTTTATTGCCACCTGCAGAGTGCTATGTTTGTATAAAACCTAGCAGAAGTAAGCAAAGTGTTTGAGAACTTTTGGAAAGTTTATCAAATTCTACACAACGTTTTAATCATTTGAAAGGTAGAACCCATAAGACGTTACACTTTTTTTTTTTTTTTTATTTTTCAATTTTACCTATAGATGTCTTTCCTCACTGCAAATTTTTGGGAGAGGGTCTTTTATCCCCAGAAAAATAATTCCAAAAGCAACTCTAATTATGTACTGAAGTGTCCAAACCCAAGCAGTATCAGAAACCCCACTCTTCTGCCTCCTTAATGCCGACAGTTTATTTGTATGGGAATACACATGCCCATATGTATCCACTGAGACATGTGGTTACCTTCCTTAGGACAAATCAGACAAGAAGCAGTTAAAAAGAAAAAGAAGAAGAAAAAATAGGTTTAGCTCTTTTCAATTTTGCTAGAGTGAAGTAAGTCTGATTTATTATTTTTTTAAGCGCACTCATCTAATGAATATTAGGAATGCCTGGTCTTACCCTTCTTGTCCTCTGAGGAGGAGAGAAGAGGCTTTCCCAGGCATTAAAGAATGGTGGAAAATGTGGCATCTTTAGTGGCAGAACTTTCTTTCCAATGGTTTGACACATTTTTGAGACAGCCAGATATTAGAAAAAGAAAAAAATGAGGATGTGAGCAGTCTGAATCAAATCACATTTCCCTCTTCAGCTAATCAGCTTTCACTTTCTCAACATGTCTGAGGCTTCAAATCTAATGCTTATTCATCCATAAATTCTTACAGGGAAAGACAATTGACAAGTTCTTTGCTCCTACTGTAAAAGGACAAACCAGTAGAGGGCAAGGAGGGGGATGAACCCATGAATCTATCTGCAGGTTTCTGCATCCAATCACCTCCACTGGTTTTGGGGCAGAAGAGGCTGTGCTCTGCTTTTTCAAAAATGAAATGGTGAAACCCGTACAGTGCCCAGCACTGATGAAGTCTGATTTTTCTAAAAGACTCTTTACTTTGGCTATTCCAGGAAATTAAATTTTCAAGACAATATAGTTATAATGATACCCCCCAAAATGGGCAGAAATCCAGATTTTTAAAATCCTTTTCCTGGCAAGTCATCCTCTAGCAATAAGAGCGCTTAAACTGTCAGCAAAAATCTTCAGAGTTAGCTCATGAGAGACAAATTAAAGACATTAGCCCTTCTCAAAATCATTTCAGAGGCAAGCTCAGGAGCTACTCCACATGTATTTCTTTGTACCATTTGTCATTATTTTGGTTTATAAACTGAAACCATCTATATGTAGAGCTGTGGAAAAGTGAGGACAGTCCAATTTATAGGTAACTAATATCCATAGAGTTTTCTCCCCAATGGAATGGAATAGTTATTGCTTACAGCTACATCAAAAGTAGAGGTATGACTATAGGCTTGGAAACCAACAATTAACGGTAATGTTAAAGCAGCACAAGCTTGCTGAGGCAAGGCTTCAGGAAAGATTATGCTGCGCTGGTCCACATGGAAAGGTAATCTCCGCAGCTCTAGGGAAAAGAATGCTTTCTATTTTTGAATGGGAGGTTTGTGGTAATCGACATAAGTGCTGGATGACCAAAGTATTCACAAGAGACAAAACTGAATTGCACAGGTCAACACAAGTGATTTAAACTCAACAGGAGTGAGGATGTCCAAAAACTCAAACTTGAGAGCACAGCATTTTTTTAACAAATCTTTCCATTCCTGAGAGCATGCTGCATCCTCCTAAAGACAAGACGGGAAGGAAGGAGACTCCTACACTCTGCCTGCGCTGGCCTCTCCTGGGGCTTCCTCTACATCTTTCAAGCTTACCGAATGGCTCGGAAGCATTGTCACAAAGCATTCAAACCCAGCCCACAAAACACAATGCTGCTCTGCGCCCACAGTCAGATATATCCCGTCACAACAATGTGCTTCTGGAAGACTGAAGTGAGTAGCAGCCCCTGTGCATGTGGCAAAACTTCCCCTTGTCCCACATCAGCCTCCCTGGCCGCACACAAAGTAGCAGCTAGTCATATTCGGCTTTCAAGCTCTAATATTTAAATGTCCTTTTCTTCCTTTAACCTCCAGAATAGAGACCACGGGATAACCACCTCCAGGTCTGGGTTGGGACAAACCTCTGCCTTGATCCAATACATGCTTTGCTTCCAGAGGCAGTGCCTAAGCTTGTCCAAATCTTCCTAAGGCCCATTTCTTCATAGCCTGCTGCATCTTCCCCATTCACATTTAATGAGAAAATCCCCATCTACACTTTTCACAACGCTGCTGCCACAGCTGCAGGCGGAGTCCCCCATTCTCCCCCTGGGGAAGGAGACAAGTTGACCTCGCCCCCTTTCTGCCCTCCACCATGTGTTGCTTTAGCTCCACTTCCCCACAGTGACTGAGGTTTCCGCACGATCCTGTCTAAATATGGAACGGCAGCTCCTAGGCAGCGCTGTTGTGATGCCATGGGTGCACACCATACGAGGACAGAGAAGAACTGGAAGAAGAAGCGACCAGAAAATCCAGCAGCCAAGGCAGCCTTCAAGACCTAGAAAAGCTTTTTTCAAATTGCAAGGGAAAAAGTGCTGCTCCTCATTTAACTTTCCCTTCCTCAATTCATCACCAGATCTGTTGTTTGCACTGATGTACATCCCTCACCACCCGAGTCCCCTTCCGTCCCCCCAGGCCAACCCGTGCTTACCTGAGGGGTATGCGGATTGCAATGATTCTGTCAATGGCAATAGCAAGGAGGCTGAAGATCGAACTCTGAGTCAAGACCAGGACGAAGCAGGCAATGAAAAGGCAGCCATAGAAGAAGGCACAGAAGCCAGTGCTGATGGTGATGGCAAAGGGGATTGCCAACACGCCCACAGCAATGTCAGCAGCAGCCAGGGACACCACAAAATAGTTGGTGACGTTCTGCAAGTTGCTATTCAGATAGACTGCCCAGCAGACCAGGATGTTCCCCAGGATGGCCAGCACCGCGATGACCAGTTCCAGGATGATGTAAGCTACATCTGAAAGGAAGTCTTCTTTCCCATGTACTAGCATGGTGAGAGCGACCAGGCCAACGTGAGAACGTGCCAGAAAAGCTCAGCGTTCATATCTGCAGAGCACTGAACAGCCAAGTCACCTCGAAGCTGCCTGGGGTCTGAAGAGCACTCAGCTGCCAGTCGGTGAAAGTTGCTCACTGCACCCTTTTCTCCCCATAGCTGTTGAAGATCTTTACAGTAGCAGGTGTCAAGTAAAGAACAGGGCTTGCCAACTCCAGCAAAGTGGATTAGCCAGATGCAGAATAATTCAAGCTCCAGCAGATGAATGGACAGGTGAATATCTCATGTAGACGTACTCTGCTCACTAGGCCACAAAGTCCACCAGGCAACACAACACAGAAAGTGTACTGTATGGCAGCATCACATCGGCCGTAACTTTCAGTTTCCTGTTGACAATCACACTGCTAGTCGTGGCTTCCTGTCATGTACATACCTACTATCAACATCCTCTGGTCCTCTTTTTCACCTTTTCCCCCTAGGACTTGGGAAATATTCTCTTCAACTGAAGCAAGCGTTCAACTTCTTCACTTGTAGCTTCCTTTAAAAAAATCAAAACAAAAACAAACACTAACCACATATGCTAAGTAATCAGCTCTATGGAGGAGATGGAAAAAGGAAAAATCTCATTAAAGTGGCACATTAAATTGATAACGGCTATTAGACAGACCTAGAAGAATACAACATTGGCAAAAATCTCACATTTTGTCTATCCTGAAAGCTGCAGGACCAAACCCAAGGTTCAAGAAGGCAGTATTTCACAGTGGCAATGAGAAACAAGGGATGTTTTGTTGTTGAGGCTACCAACTGAGCTGGCACTTCAGCAGCTGCTCGATAGTCTGCCCTGAAACATGAGAGCCCCACTAATTACGCCTTGGCAAGTGCTGTGGCTGCACAGAGGAAAGGTGGAGGAGCCTTTTTACATACACCTGTCTCCCTCTGATCACAAACACAAGGCTTGAGCCAACACACGCTGCCCAACCTCACGTACTTTGCCACAAAAGCGTGCTACACCAATATGCTGCTCTGCGATGACATGAACCCTCAGTCATAAGGGGGTTATGCTGCTGGCAGGTGTGGTTACCACTCTGCTGCCATACCCAGTCCTTCCTTTGGGTGCACAGACACTGGAACATGATCAGCAGCAGGGAGAGTAGTTTGAGGCATGTGAGGCATCTTTGAGGACTTTCCCGCTGAGCATGCACACTCTCTGCAAGGGTCTCTGCAGGTTCTCTTCCTGCAACACCATCGGTTTTGTTCACATAAATCTTTATCCTATATGCAAACTATTTATTCGTTACACCTGCATTATCCACAGCATTTGCTGCACCCACAGATTCAGGTCAGCATCATTCTTCAGCTGCGACCAGCCAGAAAGACACCCACTAAGCTACCCCTCTCCCAGAAACACGCATGCAGGCACAATGCCAACATCATCTCAAGTATACATTCACGTTCCTGCAGTATCATGCACACAAATCTGGGACTAAAGTTGGTGCCGCTTGCAAGGAAACACAGTCCCTACAGCTGCCATTTCACATGGACAGATCATCATCTACACTCGCACTCACCTTGCAGGTCACCTCGTACCTCTGCTTTCAGACATGGGTGCATTTCACCACAGTTTCAGCTAAAAATATAACAATGGAGAATACAGGTCCCTGAGCTTCATGCCACAGTCAAGAGATAATTGTTTGCTGTCCTACCCTGTCACTTCCAGAGTGGGTTTTAAATCTCATTTAGCAAGCTTTGGCAGTAATATTTTCTCATTAATTTAAGAAAAAAGCTACTTGAAACAGAGTGCTGAGGGACTGGGAGAGACACGGCACTAAGTGACAAATCACTTGAGCTCAGTTTCAGATGCAACATGAACCTCCAAACCAAAACATTTTTGGGACCTCATCCACAGGTGATCTGGTGTGGTCTAACCCTGCAGGGTTTCATGCCTTCACAGTTCACTCTGTTTTCAAGTCAGAAACCTAATTTCTCAGGATAAAATAAAAGGGTAAAGACAGTGATAATAAAAGAAAATATGATTAACTTGTGATTCACATCTGATCTCAGGCATATAATCTAATTTTAGACCTTTCATTGATTTAGAGCTCTATTGCTAATGCTGCATTTGAAAGGAAAGTGAATGATTCTTGGTGGTTTGGATGCGCTTCAAAAACCTAGCTTTTTCTCCACCTTCAGCAATCTTGTTTATGTGTTTTGTTTGGTTTGTGTGGAAGAAATCCACAAAAGAGATTAGTTTGTGAACTAGCTATTAAGAGGAAGATAAAGATCGTCCATTTAATCTTTTCTAAAGAACAAAAAACCCCAAGATGTCTCTATACTGTCTATCTCCCTTTAGCAAAAACCCCTGTTTTCCACTGACCTCCTAAAGATTGCTTCTACTTTCCTGAATTTCAGGGATGTCAGTGCTATGCTCCTAAATCACTCTGCTAGCATCTGACTGTCCGTTACAAATCCCAACAGGTTTGTTTCAAAGCAGTGATACTGAAAACTACACCCCCCCGCCCCCAGACTGACTTCCAGGGAAAGGGATTAGAATTAATGTAAGACAGGGGAAAAAAAGACAGGGAAAGGTGGCAGGAGAAAAAACCAAAACCAAACAATAAAACAAGGGAAGCAGTGGGCAAAACAGGCCTGTAAGAGAAAGAAAGTGTGTGTGCCTGCCAGGTATACGACACACGGCTGTGCCTGAAGGCTCTGAAGCAGGGGCATCTCCCTGTCCCTTAGCATCATGGCAGCAGAGATGGTGACAAGGTAATGCTCTGGCAGTGGAGGTGGGGGTATACGTGTCCCACTTCCCAACATGCTCACATATTTCCCTGCAGGTCAAGCTCATGACCAAACTGCAATGTCAGGACAAGCTTAGAAAAATTTAACAAATTACTGCAACACATTTGGGCCAGAACTGCTGCTATGTAAAAAAAAAACCACCATAAACACCCCCACAAGCTACTCTGAGATGAAGGCAAAAGAACTGAAGAAAACGCTTTTTGAAAGAAGCCAGCCTGAGAACTGGTCACGTTAATCCTGATGCTGAGAGGATTTACTTGAAGTCCTGCTATGCTGTTCTTGCACCTCATGTTCATACCACATACACCTCAGCAAAGAGGATCAAAGCAAAATTACTGGGATATTCTTCCCCATTTCAGAGCTTCCTTTTGTAGCATTATGAATCCATATTAATCCCAGATGCATTGCGTTTAACCCGACTCTTTCAGTGGCTCATCTCAAACTCATTTTCCAACAGGACACAGAGGGAAGTAACAAACCTACGCTGCGGAGGTGCCCCCCACACTGATTGTTAAACACAAGACAAAGCTGGAATTACCTACAGCTCTGCACATACCCTGAAAAAGCACAACGTAGGAATCTGAAGTTTAATGACCCCATCACATACTGTTTTCTGACACAACAAAGCTTTTAACTTTTTACTTCAACTGTTTGTTTCATGGTCTGATGTTAACTTTGAATTTTTTTATCTTTGAATTTGTTTGGTCCCTTGTTTCCCATCCCCCTTTACAAACAGTGGCCTGAATCATCAACCCAAGCACTAGCTGCTTATTCTGGAGCAATCTGTGAGGTGTTATGTCCAGAAGAGGACAACATGTCCTTCCACCCCTCTCTGCTCCCAGATGGGCCAGAAAACACTTAGAGAGTTCTGCAAAGCCAGCACATCTCGGTACAGAAATGACCAGAGCTGAGCAGGTGTCCCAGCCTCGACAAAACAACGTTTTGTGTCTGCTTCAGCGCCAGTGCTTCTGCAGTAGCCACAGACATTATGAAAAGCAGTTATTAGCCACACAACCCCACCACATCAGAGGCCTCACCTACTACTTACAGAAAGTGCCACAACCTGGGAGATTCCCCTGTTCAACCCGAACTCACCCATCGCACCGCATTCATCTCTCACAGTGGCAGCCTGTGTGAACCTCATGAGGTTCAACAAGGCCTAGTGCAAGGTCCTGCACCTGGGTTGGGGTAACCCCCAGTATCAGTACAGGATGGGGGAAGAAAGGATCGAGAACAGCCCTGCCAAGAGGGACTTGGGGGTGCTGGTGGATGAAAAGCTGGACGTGAGCCGGCAATGTGCGCTGGCAGCCCAGAAGGGCAATTTACAAAAATGATCCGAGGGCTGGAGCACCTCTCCTATGAGGACAGGCTGAGGGAGTTGGGCTTGTTCAGCCTGGAGAAGAGAAGGCTGCGGGGAGACCTGATTACGGCCTTTCAGTACCTAAAGGGGGCCTATAGGAAAGATGGGGAAAATCTTTTTAGTAGGGCCAGCTGTGACAGGACAAGGGGTAATGGTTTTAAACTAAAACGGGGCAGGTTTAGACTAGATATAAGGAAGAAATTCTTTACAATGAGGGTGGTAAAACACTGGAACAGGTTGCCCAGAGAGGTAGTGGAGGCCCCGTCCCTTGAAACATTCCAGGCCAGGTTGGACGGGGCTCTGAGCAACCTGATCTGGTTAGCGGTGTCCCTGCTCACTGCAGGGAGGTTGGACTAGATGACCTCTAGGGGTCCCTTCCAAGCCAAAACTTTCTATGATTCTATAGCTTTCACTCAACATGAAAACAAGACTTTAGTTGCAGCAGTAGTTGCAACTTACTTTAAAACAAGAACAGGCACAGTCTTTCAGCTCATATGGCAAGAAATTTACTGCACAGGGACAAAGTGAAATACAGACCACCTAGAGAGGACGACATCTATCCAGAGGCAATGCAAAATTTATTATAGAATCATCTACTTCACACAAGACCCAAAGGTTCAGCAACCAGGTCCGACAAGACAAAATTAATTACCAACCTGCTTTACTCACTGGGGAAGTGTATATTTAACATCTCAGGCCCTTGAGGGATCAATATTGCAAGCTTCTTGAAGCGTAAGAAGAATAACCTGTATCACACAACCTGCTGGACAGCTACAATTAGTATTTCTTCTTAAGCCCGTGTTTTATTTTGTTAATTGGATTAATTCTTTCTCGATACCCTGGGCTACGTTCCGGCCTTTTCCCATTATTAAATAAACCTTTCTTACCACTCACAAACCTGTAAAGCTGTTGCTCTGTTCATTTTTAGTGACTTGGAACACTCTGTTCTCTCTCATATTTCAGTGCCAATGAAAAACTGCTCCTTGAAAATTCAATAAAGCATCTGAACAGCACGTTCCCATGAAGCAATTCACCACCGGAGCCTAAGCAAGCTTTTGTTTGGCATCTCCAGTTTGCTTGGGGCGAAGGTGTTGCCCCTTTTCTCTCCTGAGTGCCAAAAGCATCGAGGTGAGCCCTTGGCCACTGTTTGGTTCAAAATACCCACCTCAAACAAGCTCGCCTCCTGCTCTCGGCCCCTTCAGGATGAGTTCAGGCATCCCAGTTCTGCATGCCCGTGCTCTGTCACTCTGGCACAGAGAAGATGTGCTCTCTGCTCCGTGTGCCAGCCTGACAATATGACAACGTCTGTGACACTTCAGTTTGACAGCTACTCTCAGACATTAGCAAAATCTCCAGGGGATCAGCAGCCCCCAGGG